TTGTCTCAAAAAAACAGAAAAAAAAGAAAGAAAGAAAATAGATTAGTGGTTGCCTAGGATGGGCTGGGGGATGGTGGCTAAAGGGTGCGGGGTTTCTTTCTGGCGTGATGAAAATGTTCTAATATTGATTGCAGTGTAGTTGCACAACTCTGTGAATATACTAAAAACCATTAACTTGTACGTTTTAAATGGGTGAATTTTACAACATGTGGATTTTATCTCAATAAAGCCCTTTAAAAGTTTGTCAACCTTTGTTCTAGTCAGGAAAGGCCTGTGAGGTGACATGTGAGCTTCTCCTTTTGTAATTGGCCCAAAGCTCTCAAAGAGTAAATGCATCAGATGACATTTCAATGGGCAAAGCCCTTTACAATGACTACCTCACTTAATCCTCACAAACCCCCCATGATTTAGATACTGACAACCCCATTTAATAGATGAAGAAACTAAAGCACAGAGAGGGTTGGTGATTTGCCCTAGGTCACACAGCTGATAAACAGCAGAACTGGGTTTCAATTCCAGGTGTGTCTTATATCAAAGCCTGTGCCCATAACCACTGAGCCACATTGTACATTGCTCCCTGTCCAGTCTCTGACTCCTGATCTTTCCCAAATAAGAAGATAGCCCAAAGCAAGATGGAGGAGACGGGGACAAGCACAGCCTCAAAGGAAGGCAGGAAAGGGCCCACCAGGTACAGAGGACAGCAACACGCATCCCAAGGGGTGTCTCTGAGTGCCCGCTCACAGGGTGAGCAAGACGCTTACTTACTCAGTGGTCCCCAAACTTTAGAAGCATAGAACTCGCCTAGTGCAGGATGTGGGAGAGAAGCTTATCTAAAAAGCAGACTCCTGGGCCTCACTGCCAGAGATTCTGATTCAGTGGATCTGAGGTGGAGACAGAAATCCAAAGTTAACGAGCTCCCTGGGTGATTTTTTTTTTTTTTTTTAGAGACAGGGTCTCACTCTGTTGCCCAGGCTGGAGTGCAGTGGAGTGCAGAGCCATCATAGCTCACTGCAGCCTCAAACTCCTGGGCTCCGGCGATCCTCCCACCTCCTGAGTGGCTGGGATTACAGGTGCACGCCACCACACCAGCCCTAGGTGATCCTAATGCAGGTGGTCCAGGGACTACCCCGTAAGATGTACAGCATAAACCTCACAGTCAGCATAAAACTCCCCTGGGTAATCCACCCCCACATCTTGGCCTCCCTCTTTCCCCTTGCCTTCCTGACGTCCCATGTTCCTGGCTGCCATTCTTCTCCCTGTACCCAGAGATCCCACTGAACATTACAGGCCTCCCAGGCTCTGTTCCTGTTCTTTTCCCCTCCTGGAGTGGGCTCCCTGTCTTCCTTTGCTCTGTCCCATCTCCCCCAAGGGGAGCCGGCACATCTCCCCTCCCTTGGCCTCCATCCCACATGAGCTCCGCTGTCGGGAGTCTGCTGACGTGTCAGCCTTTTTATGAAACTTTCCCTGACCACAAGCAAGTTTCTTTACTGCTTCTATAAACTGAGGATGACAAGTAAATGAGAAAATGTATACAAGGAGCATTATAGGCACTTAAATAGTCGCTGTTATTTTCATATTGTTGCTTGGCCTTGAGTAGGTCCGCTTAGGAGCTCTTGTGCCAAGCGCTGTGGTTATTTACACAATAACATACCTGTTATTATCCTCGTTTTATAGTGCAGGAAAATTAGGCAAAGAGGGGTCAAGAAACGTGTCCAAGTTCACCCAGCTAGAAATTGGCTGCACTTGAATTTGAACGGAGGCATCAGGTTCTGATCTTCTTCATCATGCTATCCTGACTTTCAATGATATGAGAAAACAAGTGCCAAGACTCAGGCACTTGTATGCATAGGGCCTGGCATACAGTAGGTGCTCAATAAATGCTACAGACTGAATTGAGTTGAATGGTTTCTATATTCAAGGAGAGGAGGAAAAATCACCCAAAGACTTTACTGGTCATGATGTCTCATGCTTTTTATTTGATAAGACTCAACATCACTAATCAGGTCTCAGATCTCTAATGAGAATGGGATATAAAAAAATAATTC